TCGTCGTGCCGGCTGCTTGCATGTGCTAAATTAAATTGAGCACTTTCTTCGATTTCCACTTTTGACTTCCACCTGTTTCACTTTTTGCTAAAGCGCTCCCTGGCAGGTGAAGGAAAATCTTAAGTAAAGCTGCACCTCATTATAAACCGCATGGTTCAAAGCTTGGGAAAAAAGTAGCGGCTTATAGTCTGGAAAATACGGTATATTCTTCCAATTGGTAAAATCATTAGACAGCATGGGATAAACTTCCACTGTTATGCTGACGATACTCAGGAACTTATACAAGCTAATAAATCTCAAAGTACGTGACTGGTGTGGTCGAAACACACTTCAATATATTTCATTTAAATTAAAGTACAACATACGTGTGATCCAGGGGCTAAGGCAAAGCGGATTAGAAAATAGCTTTTTTAGCCCCATTGACTTGCATTCATTGAATCGTGAACCACTGTAGTTATAATTTCAAGTTACTTTTTCCAAAAAGTTATTGAGTTAGTTATTCTGTTACTACATTTCAAAAGTTACTGACATTATTTTTATGATTTATAACACAGTTAGGTTCTATAATATTTATAACGTCAAATATGTTTTTATTTGAATGATTCTTAAGATCTAGAATAAACATTTCAAATATCTTAAATGTGTATGTGGATATCTGGAATGTTAATATCTACTGGGAACAATAGAAGTATAGATATCTGGAATACATATTCAGTCTGCCTATGACCCCATTCCCACCTGTACCGGGTCGGCCCGGGCCGGGCAGCGTAGGTTGTTTACATATCTGGGTGGCCTGGTATTTTTCCAGGCCAACCAAGGCTCATTCTCAGCCCTCTTCTCGAGGGGGTCTGCTTCAGGCCGACCAGGGCCAACACACCCACTGCTGACAGCAAATTCACACCTTCTATTAGAGCAAGCCTCTGATTGGTGGGTAGAATCAGCCCACATGGGCTTAAGGCATGCTCAATTCATTATCATGCTGATTACCCAGAAGCTGAGTGTGTCTCTGACTGCATTCCTTGCATACCTAAGCAAGGATGTGTGGAAACAACCGGGCCAGGCTGGGGCCGAATGGGGCTACCCGGCCTGGGCCGACCCGGTACAGATGGGAATGGCCCATTACAAATGTTAAAAAGGCCACCTTGGGTTTTTAGGGATTTTGAGGTAACTCAAACTTAATTCCTACCAGTGCAGTTGCTATTATATCCTTAATTAGAATTTATACTAGTAAGAACATAGCTGTTGGTGTCTTCATTTTCACTTTTGACCAATAAGAATACAATTGCTACTACTACTAGCATCAGTTAAATTATTGCTATATAAAAAATTAATAAGAGATGTCTGGTTGTTGACTAAATGTAAAAATCGCAGCATGTCCTGTTTTCAGTAATTTCCTCACCTTTCTGAAGTGTTTTCTTTCCTCCTCTTTTACAGATTTGTCCCCACGATTATTTACAGATCCCTTCACATTAATGTAATAATTTTCTCAGGCATTTTGTGCACCTCCTCCCTCCCAGCTTTTACAGCGATCTGAAGTACGTATAGCGTGCTCTGCCGTCAGATTGGAGGCACATGCATATTAATTTTTGCCATTTGTAAGTGGCTCAGTGTAAGATGGGGCACAGCCAGTGTCCTCCAAGAAGGAGCCGGTTCTGATCAACGCTAGAGCCATTTTAAATTTTTTTTACATTAGACACATCACTAGTATGGCTGTTAGAAAGCCTGACACCACTGTGCTTCATTCAGCCATATGGTATTAATGCGTCACTTAACATGCCCAGTAATGGTAAAGGCTTTGTAACGTTGAGAAAGGTAATTAATTAGATTATTTTGTTACCTAAAAAATAATGCCGTTATTAACGACATTGTACTTAAATGCTGTTACTCATGCTCATAAAACAGGTAAACACCTGCAAGGAGTTATGTTCAGCAGTGGCTTTTTTTGGAAACAAAGATACAGGAATTCTTTACATTGCAGGCTAACAGCACGGCCTCACCTAGAGCTGATGGTAAATTCCTAGTAGCATCACAAGCATAGGTTCAAAATAGAATGAACCACATGTAGTCAGGTATTGAAGGAAAGCCGATACAAGACCAGGCTGTTGGACAAGGCTGTGTATCTGCTTGCTGTATCTTGTTCAACCCATGCACTCCATTAAAGCAGTTCTTCAATCAGTCAAGCTTGCATATCACTTGATCTTTTCTCTGAAGTTATCTGTATCTGAAGAGCCATCCTTACATCTAGTTTGAGTAGGACAATTTCCAAACTGGGTTACTGCCAGCTTAAACAACTTCAGTTTAATAAATGTTTAATCACAACAGGGGCTTCCTTTTTCAATTTTCAAGAAACTCCTGAAGACCCTGATCTTCAGAGAGCATCTTCATAACTAGCACCTTCCCTGCACCCGTCCCCCCTCTCTACCGTCCACTCCTTGTTCCCTCCCTCTCCATGATTGATGTCAAGTTGTTGTTTTTATTGTTGTTAGCCTCAAGGGCAACATGCCGATTATCACTTGTAAGTCGCTTTGGACAAAAGTGTCTGCTAAATACATAAATATAATCAGTTCATGCAAAAGTTGTTTTTTTAGAAGAGGTTTATGGTCTTTTACACTTGTCTACAGTATAATCAATTTGTCGTTTGGTACAACAGCATTTTAAATGAGACAATGCTAAACAAAACATGAAAGGTGTGTACTACAACATGTGTTTAGTTGCAGACCTACACATTCTGTAGTGTAAATGAACAACGCTCATTTTATTAAATATCAATGTAAATATACATTTAGGATGGCATTTGCACAAACTGCTTTTGAAAATGTTTAAGAATAGAGTTGTTTTCAGCAACAGAATTTTGCTTTGGGTCTGTTCCATCGGACTAGCCTTTAGCTCGTCTGACACATCCTAACTAATTTTCTCCTCCAAACTTCAAACAGCTGTTTTCCGTGTCTAAGACACTGACTTCACAGAATGTTGCTTCAAAAATTCTAAAGTATCCCTTTCAGTAAATGTTGTTGTTGACCTCTTGTCATTTGAAAGAAAATATGAAATTCAGAATGGTAACAAATAGTGAATACTTTAGTTCTGTTAGTTGTCTTGAAGCTATAGGCCTGTTGGCAAAATTTAACAAACAGATGACTGGTTTTTGTAGTCCTGTGTTAGGAATTCTGCCCCAAAATATTGTGAAAACAGTTGAGAGCCTTTATTGAATTCAGAGCATGTGAGGCATGTTCTCCAGATGCAGCAGTGATAGGTGTCCCCTCAGGGAGTGGACTGACAGGGGAATCAAGACAATGTTTGAGTCTCAGTGTAAATTGAATACTAACAAACTTTGAATACAAGTTGGCTTAAGATGAGGAATGGGTTCAGCGTCGGGGCGGATTGGAGAATGGGCAGCAGCTCTGTTTATTCACCTGACCTATGAGTCATGTAACTTGAGGCAAACCTTACAGCAACATGCCATATTGAGACATCGCCAGCTCTCAGCTGCTCTCTTGATTTCTCCTCACTGTGCAGATTGTCATTTGTTGTTTATTGTACTCCAGTGTTGTTATTGGCCTCCGCATTCCTGAAGATGGTGTCGTATAATAATGTATTTGGCCGCACTCATTTACCTCATATGGTGATGAGTTGTTTGATGGGCACTTTCAGTAATAATCTCAACATGGAATTTAGTTTGGCTACATAAGTTTCATACAAAAACCATTGAAGAAGAAGAAGAAAAGATAATTTCTAGAGCGCCTCTCAAGATAAAAATCACGAGGCGCTTGACAAAAACAAAAAATGTAAAAATATAAAAAAATATTTAGAAAATGATTAGAAATATATTTAAAATGAGCAAAAAATAGATAACTGTGATTAAAAAATGTAAAGGTGGAGAGAGAGTGAATAGAAAAGAGGGAAATCAGTGGATCCTGAGGAAGGTGGAATGGGTGGGGAGAGCAGAATAAAGAGAGAGTGGTGAAGAAGGTCATACAAAAGCCAGCTTGAACAAGTGAGTCTTCAGCTGCTTTTTAAAGGAGTCCATGTAGTTTAAAGGAGTCTATGTAGTTATCATAGCAGTTTGGTTTGGTCTGTGGCTTTTAGGGACAGAGAGGTATGCAACAGTCTCCTTTATGTGCTTAAATAGATTTGCGTTGTTGATTGCAGGAAAAGGCACGTGGTCCAGAATTTTTTTCTGCTTAATTGGGTTAAGGGTTAGGGTTAGTCTGGCGGACATTCCAGCTGTCATCCCAATCTCTCTTTACATTTGACTGGCTTTTCCAAATATAACATTATTATCAACCTTATTTTGTTTTAAAGGTGTTTGCCCTGTTTATTTCTAGAAATAAACTGCACTACCACAACTGGATAGAGAAGAGAAAAGAGTTGCTGATGTAGCAGAGAACAGACATAGCTTTGGTTTGGACTACTGGCCACTGGATAAGATTATAGTATAGTATTGGTTTTATGCTGTAGTAGATAAGGGGCAGGGTGGAGACATCCCTCTGCAGTAATGTCAGGTTTCAGAAAACCCAGAAACGAATGCCTGGGAGGTGGAGACCTCTTAATGTCCGTGATTGTCCAGTTGGACCTGTGTGCCAGCCTAAATCAGCCCTCCAGCTCATAATGTTTTGTCATTTCCATTTTATATACACACACACACTCACACATTTGACACTATGCTGTCAGACACAAATGTGCCCTGAGGGAAGTCAGCAGATTTAGAATCAAGTGAACCACTCATTCTTGGTAGCACCCGTCTACTGGGGCTGGAGTGCCACCTCTTGTGGTTTGCACCTCCACATGGTCTCCCTTACAGCTGGGACTTGGCACCATTCCAAGTGCCATTATGCGTTGGTGAAAATCTAAAAACCAGTATCCACCAATCGGTTATTGTCACCTTTAACTATCACTTTGACTCAACCTGGTATGAGATGATAAAATGCATTCTATAGTTAAGTTCTTCTTATTTACCACATGTCCTGGGATCTACCACTCACAAATATCTGTTTGTGTTTCAGTCTGTGGTCAAAACTGGACGTCTGCTCATCAGTCACGAGGCACCGGTGACCGGAGGCTTTGCTGCTGAAATAAGTACCACTGTCCAGGTGAGTAACTATCTTTCTGATGCAGAGAAAGTGTTAGAAGATAGTATTTAGTTGGCATGTAGATCTTACAGGGGGAGGAGGTGGCCTACATATGTGTACTGGCCTTGATGGCTTTGGTGTTGCTAGTAATAGCCCCACTTTTTAATAAAGCTCAAATAACCTCTGACTGAATGCCCTGGAGTCAATGGTTTCCCAGCCCTACCTCCTGCTCGGGGCTTCAGCGCAGGTCTTACCCACTCAAATATAAGAGAAACGATGTTCACTTAACTATCGTCAATGAGACCTTGACATAAATATTGCAGAACAAACATAATTAAAAAGTGTGTGAAGTTACCATGAGACTCCATGTGGGTTGTAATAGAAAAGTAGTCATTTTTAGTAATAAGGGGTGTACGTAGTTAACCGGTTAATTGCCGTTAGCTTATAACCGGGTAAACTAGTGTTTCCCGGTTAACTGCTTCAAGTCCTTCTGCTGTGCTGGGTGCAATATATTTCGTGCCACCAGAGAGCGCAAGAGCACCGCTATAAAATATGTTTACTGGGCAATGGCAGAAGAAGAAATCTGCTTGTTGCATGACCAAACAAATGTGCTCAAACATGAAGCGGTTAGTTGGTTTCCAGTTAACTGACTATTAACTGTTAAGTGGCGTCAATAGTAAATTTTGGTAAACGTGCATCCCTACTTAAAAGACAGAAAAGGTTATTTAAATGTTTAAATTGCATGACATTAAAAACTTGTTATTAAGGGGATTCCAGAAATATAAAATAACAGCATTTTTTCATTTTTAAGATGCATTGGGTATTATAGTCCCTTCTTGGCATATAAAATTTTGCAGAAGCTTGTTAGTTGGCTGTTGAATTAAATCAGAGGTGTTGAAGCAGGATGGTGGCCCTCAATGACTGGTTCTACTGACCACAGGCTACAGTTTACAACCACATGGCACAACAAAATCTCTTAAACATCTGTCTTACCAAGCTCAGAAAGTTGAGCCCTGTGTAAATGAAGAACAGATGAGTAGTGTTTCTTCCCCAACCAAGTGAAACGGATGCAGTGGGTAAAAAACAAGAAATACTGAGATCAATAAAGTATTGCCCCCCCCCCCCCCCCCCCCCCCCCCCCCAATCTAGTTCGAGCGATATTTGCCCACTATTCTTTTTAGAACTGTTCAAGTTTGGTCGAACTGGATTGCAGGCATTGGTGAACTTCAATCTTCAATTCCCCCACAGATATTCAGTGGGATTTAGGTCTGGGCTCGGACTGGGCCACTTGAGGATATTCACTTTTTTGTTCTTCAGCCACTCTGGCTTAATTTTACTGTGTGCTTTGGATCGTTGTCATGTTGAAAGATTAATCTTCTGCCCGTTTTTAACTTTCTGGCTTTGATCAGAAGGATTTCTTTGAGTACCGTATTTTCACGACCATAGGGCGCACCGTGTTATAGGGCACAGCTTCAGTTACGGGTGTCTTTTTGGTATTTAACTCATGCAAAAGGCGCACCGGGTTATAGGGCACGGGCACGGTAAAACGTACCGGTAAAACATCTGTGCGGGCTCGGGACTCGGAACATATCAGTGCAAACCAGACATTGTGAAAATTATAAACAGCCAAAAGCATGCTTCACTTTACTGGTCTAGTCCTGGTTCAGACCTGGTTTAGAGCGCACGTGCACTTCCTCATTGCGTGCGCTGACGGCTCGTGCTCTTCTAATGGGCTCGACACACGGGAGGCAACTTCGCCTCTCCTCCATTCATTTTCAATGAGACATGCGCAACAAAGCGATAATCGCGGTTCTCCCTCCTACTAAAGCCAGGCGTACACCGGGAGTGCTACAGGAGGACACACAGGGATTTATGGGTGTTAGATGAGGAAAACAAAATAAAGAAAGTTGATCTGTGTTTTGTGATCAGTTTAATTTGACATGAACACGACAAGCATGCTTTCTTGACAATCTTTGTGAGTAAAAAAACGTGTAGAAATAAAAACGAACAGCGTGTGTTATTAGGAAAATAGCGGGCGAGCAGTGTTGATGCATGATTGCGCATGCGCCGTGAGCGGTTCTGGTACTTTATAATAATAATAATAATACATTTTATTTAAAAGCGCCTTTCAGGACACCCAAGGTCACTTTACACAAAACACGTAATAAAATACAATAAAACAATAATAAAACCCAAAGAAGAAAAAACAGAGAGAAACATTTCAATAAAATCAGAGGTTTATGGGTCGCAGCGCCGCTTCAAGCGCTGATGCGCTGTGTTGAAGTTCAGAATGTGTTTACCGGTAGTTGGTGGATTTAACCACATAAACTTTCCACATGAACATAATCATATGTGTGTTATTAATAGGCCTAAGAAAATAGTGTGACTTGAATTGTGTTTTATTAACCCTCTGGGGTCCATGGACGCGTATCCGCGTCTTTTGAACAGGTCTGATTTGGGACTCTGTAGCAGCTAGACTCTGCCTCCCTGAGTTTCGGTTTCAATTCGGCTTTAAAAAGGAGATTATAAACTACACCCCAGTTTTTAAATTTTGTTAATGGGCAACGTAAAAGCGGAGTTATACTAAACTAAAAAAAAAAAACGACCTATTTTTAGACAATCTGACAACTTGTCAAAACAGCAGTTTAGTAATCCGAGAGAGGGAATGTGCTTGTGAACATAAAAAACCCCACAAAAACACGAGATCCTTTTGCTGTTGGTGGAAGTCTTACATATTCAAATTGATAAAAAGTATCATTATGCAGCTGAGAGAGAGAGGAAGGCTGCACGAGTAACGAGATGTGCGCAAAACGAGCCGCTTCGCGGGGAAAGGAGTGGCGCGAACGGAGTAACAACAAACAATTAGACAGATATTGACGGTAAACTTCATATTTTAGAGCGATCCGAACAGATATATTGTCGCTGCAGTTTAGTAGGCTTTTATTAGGCTTGATGGATGATGAGAAGGATAAATGTCCACCAGGCATTTCAGATAGTACTGCTGTTTTTTAACTGGAAGCAGAGGAAGTGGACGGAGACTCACAGCTGGAGTCTGAGGCAAATAGCGAGGATGTTGATGACGATGTGGCAGATCCACAGGTCTGTCTTCGCTCACGTCCGCACGTTCACGCCATGCCCCTTGTCTTCTACTACGTTCGCGTCTCACAACAACACAATAGGTGCACCCCACCATAGGGCACGGCGTACATTTTGGAGAAAATTTAAGACTTTTAGGTGCGCCTTATGGTCGTGCAAATACGGTATTTGATGTTACTTTGCCCCATGCATTTTTCCTTCGACCCTAACCAGAGCCCCAGTCCCTGAGGCATAGAAACACCCCCGCAACAAGATGCTACCACCTCCATGCTTGACTGTAGGTGTGATGTGTTGTGGATGGTGAGCTGCATTGAAAATACACCAGGTGTACTGTTTGGTGTAGAGGCCATCCAGTTTGGAGGGTCCTTGCCACCTTTTCTAAGACTGTATTGTGCTCTTTGATTGATAAAACCTTAGAGATTTTTTGTTTGCACCTCCTTCCTTATGTCTGGACACAACTCTGCTCCAGAGATCTTTTGAATGTGGCTTGCCATCCATAGTCAGTTGTTTGCTGTCCGTTACACCAGTGATTCCCAACTGGTAGTACTCATACCCCTAGAGGTATGTGCACATTACAGGGGGTACGTGGAAACATTTAGTATTTCATTTCCCAGATGCATAGCACCTTCCCCCCAAGGCGCTTCACAACACAGTCGGTCATCCACCCATTCACACACACCATCACAATAATAAAATACAAATCACTATATATATATATATATATATATATATATATATATATATATATATATATATATATATATATATATATAAGAGCAGACGTCACCCCTCTGTTCATTGAGCTCCACTGGCTACCGCTAGCAGCACGCATCAAATTCAAATTGCTAACACTAGCATACAAAGTCCGAGACGGTACGGCTCCCATCTACCTGAATCCTCTTGCAAAGGCTTACGGCTCGGCCCGGCCGCTCCGGTCATCACAGGATTGTCGGCTAGCAGTGCCTACACCACGCTCATGACAATCCAGACTTTTCTCATGCATTGTTCCACAAATGTGGAATGACCTTCCTAACACTACCAGAACTGCGGCTTCCTTTTCTATTTTCAAGAAACTTCTGAAGACCCTGCTCTTCAGAGAGCATCTTCTTAACTAGCACCTTGTCTGCACCCGTCCCTCCTCTCTACTGTCCACTCCTTGTTCCCTCCTCTCCATGACTGATGTCAATTTGTTGTTGTTACTATTGTTGTTAGCCTCAAGGGCAAAATGCCGATTATCACTTGTAAGTCGCTTTGGACAAAAGCGTCTGCTAAATACATAAACATAAACATATATATATATATATATATATATATATATATATATATATACAGACATTGTGGTGGTGGACAAACAACAAAGGACAGCGGTTGTGGTTGATGTGGCAATATCAAGTAATGGTGACATCAAAGAAAAGGAACATGAGAAACTAGAGAAGTACCAGGGCCTCAAAGAACAATGAGAAAGCCTGGAGAGTGAAGACATTGGTCGTCCCCGTGGTCATTGGGGCACTTGGGGCATTGGTAAAGCAGATCCCAGGGAAAAAATCAGACATCTCAGTCCAGAAAAGGGCAGTTCTAGGAATTGCTAAGATACTGCACAGAACCTTCAAGCTCCCAGGCCTCTGGTAGAGGACCCGAGCTTGGTCAAATGAGACCGTCCGCAGAGGGTGAGCTGGGAGATTTATATAACACAGAGACACACAAGACAAACAATCATGCGCACACACTCACACCCAAGGACAATTTAGACAGACCAATTAACCTAACAGTCATGCATTTGGACTGTTGGAGGAAGCCGGAGTACCTGCAGAGAACTCAAGCTTGCACAGGGAGAACCCGCAAACTCCATGCAGAAAGCGAACCCAGGACCTTCTTGCTGCAAGGCAACAGCTCTAACCACTGTGCCACTGCACAGCCCTATATAT